CCCCAAAACCCCAAAACCCCAAAACCCCAAAACCCCGTAAATCTTCATTTTCGTGATTCTTTAAGAAATTAATCATCAAATACAATCATAAGAGAATTTAAAGTCAAATCTTTGCTCATAATATCAATAAATACGTCATTAATGATGATGTGACGATCAAAGTAGTTTTAACAATCTATTCAATCTAGCTCTTCTATTTTTCACTTAATTTTTCATCCTTATTTGTAGCAATAGCCATTGGATCTAGCACTCTAAACCATACAGGTGGAATCAATGCGAGAATCAAGGAAACTGAGTAGCCGTAGGGCAACATTGGACTTTCTGGGTAGCTATTCAGAATTTGATAGGGCTTGTAGACATTAGCATGATGATCTGAGTGTCTTTGCAGCTTAAATAGCAGATAATTCGTCAGCACTTGAGGTGCATTCCAAGAGTGTTTAATATTGATTGACTCATAATTTCCATTAGCATCAATTTTTCTTACTAAAGCATAGTGCTCAATGTAATTCACAGCTTCAAATATAAGTACGACAGTTAATGAGTAGATTAAATGATATTTTAGTCCATCATATCCGAAAATAGAAAATACAGCAGCAAGATACACAATATGCAAAATATTAAACCAGATCAATCTGTTCTCTAATGGTGAATAGGAAGACTTCTTTTCTCGAGTTAATCTCTCCGATTCAAAGTGCCAGACTTCAATGAATCCTTGAGGAAGTGCTCTAAGATAATATGCAAAGACACTTTCACCATATCTTCCAGTAGATGAGTCTCCTGGAGTTCCTACAATTTTATGATGAGATCTGACGTGCTGAATAAAATAATGTGAGTAGATCATTTTTGAATAGCTAAGTGTGCCCAGAACTTTATCTCTTATATTTCTTCTGTGCAGAAGTTCATGACCAATGGTTGCATTAATACCACCATACTGAGCATTACCAAGAACAAGCATGAAATATTATAGGCAAGATAAAGCTATTTTCCCTTTTCCCATCATATACACCATATGGAAATGAAATGCAAAATCTATACCCCAAAACAAGTAAAGTGGAACTGTAAATCTCCAATCTTTTTCGAAAATTCTTGCGTCTACATCATTTAAATTGCTATGATCTATAGGTAAGAGATAGTCAAGAAGTGGTATCAAAACATAAAGGATCCACAAGGAAAGAGTAAAGTTTTAAGCTACAATGACGAGATAAATGTGAAAAATTAGAAGTAGAGTAGGAATAAAGTAGGGGGCCACATCCATCCAGGTAGGCTATCTGGCTAGCTACTTTTATTGGATTTTTTCTTTAGATTCTCCTGTTTAAGAATTCATTTAATTTGATTAAATAAAGAAAATAAGCAAATATCTACTATTACTAATAGCTTCAATAAATTAATTTGAAGGGGTTTTGGGGTTTTGGGGTTTTGGGGTTTTGGGGTTTTGGGGTTTT